TTTGCATGGTTTATAAAATTTCATAAACATATGTACACCGTCTATCACTTCTTCAATGGAGGTCCGCTTCATCATCAGCGTTCACTTCATTGATCTGCAGCCATTTTTATTCGTTTCTATATTTTTGTTCATATTTAATTTTTTTTTCTCATTCTCTAATTATGTATTCCTATATCTCTCGTACTGCTTCTATTTTTCATTCTATTTTCCTCCTTTCTCAGACTTCTTCGCACTTGCTTCCTTCTTTTCGATTTTTATGCGTGTTTTCGCCTGCGTTAAGCAAAGCGCTCTAGTTGTTCTTCTTGCAGACGATGTAGATGAATCATATTCATCAAAGCGCTAGAAGAAAAAATAAAGGAAGAATATATCTTTGGCGTGAGCACGCGCTCACACATGGAGAGTTACCCCAAGCTAGAACGACTGCATACTATAGTACAACCTTCATAGAACCTGTTCAGTTGCCAAACTCTATGAGTTAATTTCCTCCTCCTTGTCTAGCTTCTGCATTAGCTAAGGAGGGAAGAAATAACTGCCGCAGTTGATGTGGAGTGGAGAGCGCACAGCGAGGAAGGTGCTTAAGTCCGGGAAGCTGACAAAACGCATGCTGCTTCGGGACCTGCTGTTGTGCTGCGAGAAGCAGCATTGACATTTGATACAAGCCTGCCGGTCAACATTGGAGCCTGGAGTTGGGCAGCGGAAGAGCGTTGCGCGTCAGCAAACGAGAGCAGCGCAGCAGGGATAGTGGCGCGGCCGACTTCAGACAACGACCGGGGAGGTCTGGTGGAGCACCCGCAGCATCAAAGAATTCGTCTTAACAAGGGTTGGCGACGAGACGGACGCAGTTCCAACCAACGTGGCCATCAGGCGACGCGCGACTGCAAGGTGAGGCCTGTTTTGTGCGCTCTCGGGGCCCCCATTTTTCTTAACTGAATGCACTTGCGTTCAGGCACACTCTAGGAGATGGCGGATTCAGAGCGAGATGTCATGGAAGGTGACAGTGTGAATGAATCGGATCGCACCCGCGAGTTGCAGCTTGAGATTGAAATGGTAAAGCTCAAGCTTGAGCTAGAGAAAGTGAAGTCATCGCGTGCCTTGTCAGAGGAGCCGGAAAACTGGAACCGGCATTCTAGTATCGCGTGGTACGCGAGAGAGCTGAAAGCAGTCCTAGCACCCATGCCCACTAATGAGCCGATTATTCCAGCTTGGTTTAAGAATGTGGACGCTCTTTTTGCGGCATGGAGCATTCCTGAGGAAATTCGGGGCACGATTCTGTTGCCATTCTTAACCGATAAGATGCATAAATTCGTTGCCAATCAGGCAGAAGCTGGGGTAATGCCGTATTTAGATATAAAATCGAGGGTGCTGAGGGAGCTGAGGATGACTCCGAGCGAGTACCAACGAATGTTCGTGGAAATGAAGAGAGAGGCAGGCGAGTTTTGGAGCCAAGTGACGGCGCGCCTAGAGACTATGTTTGCGTACTACGTGAGAAGTAGAGAGGCGGAGACATTTGAAGGTCTTCAGGAGTTGCTTATAGCGGACAGACTAAAGCAGTCAATGCCAAGTGATCTCCGCTCACTGGTCCTTAAGCAGGAAGTGAAGGGCTGGTTGAAGGCCAAGGATGTTGCGGAGTTAGCCACGAATTTTGAAGAAAGCTTCGACAGCAGCAGGCAGGGTAGTTACTGCGGTGCGGAACCAGAGAATTTGAATTATAGGCCGGCCGCAAGCCAAACTATTTACTAGAGCGAATCTGAGTCGTAATTCAAGAGCGGAGGTTCGGGCTTGGGCTCGGACATACGCCTGAGGCTGCAATAAAGCGTCTCTTCACCGGAATACGGCTCTTCCTTAGCGCTGCCACTGTGCACTCGAGTCATTGAGGGGACCCATTCCGATCCCCAAACACCTTCTCACCTTAGATAGTGTAGAAGCTAGTAGAGGAGAAGGAAATTAACTCTATGCATCCACCGTTCTCTGAAAGCAGCGCATAACCGACTTCCGGTCGAGTGGCGCTACTGTAGCAACAGGCTCCACTTAGCAGATGACGAAGCACGAGCGAATGCCGCGCGTGCACCTGCTATCCACGGAAAAAATGTATTGCTTGAAAATTCAAGGACAAGGATGACTAGTGTTCTCTTTAGGTAATCGTGAAGGCTTGATACATTAGCAAGAATGTTTAAAAGCGCGTTAGTAGGTGTTCTATGTTGCACGAACTGTAGCAAGCACCCAGTGTTGGGTGGACGCTGCGGTTCTCGTCATGTTCAGCGCGATAGGCTTTAGTGGTGCTCACTGTCTAAGTCCACTTTTTGATAGTAAAGCGAGTCGCTTTGAGGAGAATTCTGTTTTTTTTCAGCTAACGGAGAAGATTCGACTGGGTCTAGTAGGTGTTGTGAAAATACGTAATGATAGAATTTTGTCTGAGCTACGCGAAATGTGCAGTGAATGCTACTCACATCGTTCGCATTACCTAATATACTTTGTTTTAGGTCGACCATGCGGCACAGCGCATTCACAGAAATCAACCCTCGTTAGCGCGTGACTGAGTTATGTATTTGGAACACACTTCGATGGCGATCAAACCAAGTCGGCAGCGGGTTTTCTCGCTGGCTCATCTGCGCGAGTTGAGAGCTTATAATATCGTGCAGAATGTACTCTAGGTTAACACTTGACAGTAGCTCATGGTCTAGTGGTTATGTTAGTTTACTAGCCCGCGAGTCTCGGGATTTATTCCCAGCCGCTATTTCGATGCAGCGAAAATTGCTTGAGGACTATGTGCTTAGATTTAGGTGCACCTAACGATCCCTAGGTGGTCAAATTTCCAGTCTTTCACTACGGGATCTCTCATAATGATATCATGGTTGTGAGACGTTAAGCTTCGACAATTGTTATTCACTAAAGCTGCATCCTTCTTCATTTTTTAGCAACCCTGCGCATACTTTTTCTCAGCCTTGGCATCAATGTCGTTTAGCCAAGAGAGGCTTGAAATCCCACCCGAAGTACATACATATATAGGGGTGAAGCGCAGTGATAGTGTGATATTTAAATGACTTTGCCATGCTTCCATGCGCAGTCATTGACATATTCAGTGACGATGCTGAGTTTACAAATTATTAGTGTACACTCTTCAGCCGTTGTTGGATAAAAAGCCACAACGTTATTGTTTCATCAGATCCGGCAACGCTGATCCAATTCGCAAACGAATATCACTCAAACTGAACGCACCGCTTGCGGAAGTGCGGTCGGAGTTATCCGTACAGGTTTCAGACTCCCAGGATGATTTAACATCATTACATTTTTTTTCGACTATCTTACTTCAATGGAATCTTGATTTTTTTGTGGCTTCGAAAAATACGGTGGCTAGTTTGGCAAAATATTTGGCACACTTCCCTGTACAAGGCTCTCCTTGCTTACCGAGAACAATGGCAACTTTTTTCCCATCGACAACGTGGAACACGTTCTCAAGATGTCATCGGCGTAGAAAATGCACATTGAAAATTCGAGATTCGTGTGACTGCCTTTTTTTTTTGTAAAAAAGTCACAGCTTTGTTGCAAAGGCGAAGCAATGAACGCGATAGGAACAAATTGGAAGGTCACGTGCAGGATGGCAAGCAGATCAAAACGTGCCCCGCGTTTCTCACGCACAAATGACGCACGAAACGTACTCACAAGTACACATGAACGTGAATAAGCGTCTCAGTTGTTCGCCCTGTCTGAAAAGCGCGCCTTTTTCGCAAACGGAGGATGTGCAACGACTGCAGTGACCTTCGTGCATTGTATACGAGCGATTCTCCCTACTGCAAGATAAGGGCGCGTGATCGAGCGTACAGCCCCTTATTCTCCACGCGGACCAAAGTACGCGGGAGATATGAGAGCCGCCGTTCGCTAACTGCGCCATCTGCCTGATAATGCTTTGAAAACACGATATCCTCCCCCCCACCCCCCCCCCCCCAGACGTCAACTAACTGCCGTTTGACCGTCCATGAAGGTACGTCATTGTGGCTCAGCACTGTTAAGCGAAAAAATATGTATAGGGATCTCCGTGATGTCTTGTTCCCAACACATTTGTGGAGGACCCGGACAGGACGTCTTGGAAAGGGTCATCCTTTCATTGGGACATCCTTGGCATTCGTTTTCTCTGTGTGGATGATGACGACGGCATACCATACGACATGGTTATGTTAATTAGCCTTCAGAGCATCTGGCAGACCACAATGACTTACAGACATCTTGACTAGAACATACGTCCTGTCCGAGAGAAATTCATTGCAAATATACGGTATATCACTGAGGTATATAAACAACAAGAAGAACCTCCCAGCTGGCTAACAATGTTAGAGGAATTATGCAACCTGAAAAATTTTTAATGTGAGCACTTCGGATCAAATATAGGTCCAAGTCTATTTTAGCATTCATGTTTCTGTGTGAACACCTGTAAAGAAACACAGGTAATAAAGAAAAAAAAAACGTCACGGTGGCTCAGTGGTATAGTGCCTCGCATTCACGATGCGGAGGTCCCACATTCGAGGGCGCGCACTGGAGTCTTATTTCTAGATTTTTTTCTTATGTTTTCATATATAAGATACGTATTAATATACGGAGCATGAAATCGACGCCGATGTCGGCGGCAAAATCCAGCCGATAGTGTCCATATAATTGCTGTCGCAATAAAACGGGGCATAATGTGACCCCATGCTGCACAAAAAGCCGGCGCACGAGCCGGTGCACGTTGCTGAACTAGTGGGAGCCTGTTACGGCAGCAGCGCCTCTTCCCAGCTATTGCTTGCGGCGGCGCCCCACAGCATCACCGAGTTTTCAAACTGTACAGGTTCTATACACGTGTCTATACGAAAGTCTAGTCCCCTCAAGTGCTCCGCACTTAATTTTGGGTGAGTGAACTGATTCTGAATGAGTCAATTGATTACTGAGTTTGCTGACCAATGTCTGTAGGCGTGACTTCACGAGTGTTCCTTATTTAGGACATTCTCACGGGAACGCTGGTCACGTACCAGGGGGTGTGGCTATGCCGTATCCCTTAGAGTCCAGCAGTCCGCCAATTTGCATGAGCTGGCAGTTTTTCTGCACCATGTACTCGATGGTCGTGGACTCCATCAGGTAGGCGTAGCCGCCACGAAGCACGCGCTCGACACCCTTCTCGTTAGTCTCGGCGAACACGCTGGGCTGAGCTGCTTCCATGACCGCCCACATGCGCTTGATGAGTGACGAGTCTGAATGCTGCGATAGAAGGGAAAACCAAGCCAACACCAGCTGTCGGCCCTCAAGCTGTCTGTTCGTGAACATCACAAACTTATGTAAGTTGGCTCAAAGAACAAATGCTACTCGACAGATCTTCAAGAGTTGCTGTACCTTATAGTGTATCGTATATGGCCAATCCATAAGCAACGTGATTAGTTACACTCAATATTTCTGTCCGCACACCTGGAGTATTTGTAGAAACTGGCTTAAGGGTTGGATGGTATATGACAAAACGTTTTCTATAGTGGCGGTACGCACTAACTTGCAGAGGTACTACCTAATTGTAGCAATTCTTCAAAGGCAGCTTAATCACTAGGACACCTTCTCTTCATTGCGACCAATATTGAGTTGCGGAGAAAATGATGCACTCGCCAATTTTTGTGTTTCTTGACGACGACGCAGCAGCAAACTGGATCTACACTAGTAATCATCTGTAAACTTTATTGCCTGGTTTCGAGACGCCATACCTATCGATTGGCGGCATGGTACGCATATCGCCTGTCATTAAAATAGAGCACCGCGTATATAGCTGTGGGTGCGCGGGACACCTACGTGCTATTAAGCTTGCTCAAGCTTGCTCAAGCATAAACATTTTCTTGCCTAAAGTGTCTTTTCTTTAGAAATGAGAGTTACTGTCCATGATGACACTTGCTCTTGGCTGCCGTGATAGTACAGTGGTCACGGTCCTCGACTGCGTACCTGAGGCACGGGTTGAAATCCCGGTGCCTGCTACCGCATTTTCAGTGAAGGTGGGAATAATGGAGACCCGTGTGCTTGCATGTATGTGCACGTTGAAGACCCCTATGTTGTCGATCTTCACGGAGCCCTCCAGTACCACGTTCCGCATAAGCATATGGTACGTATTGAACTTAAGGCCTCAGAAATTATTGATAATTATTACCCTTTCTGGCATTGATAATTCCTTAATTGGGTTGTTTACTGTAAAAGACATGAAGTGATATGAGAAAATAGATTTAGTTGAGTGTCTACAACAGCTCTGCTGACGGCCAGCTTATTCTGCCTAACTAGAGTTTCTTCTTCAGTTAGTGTCCCTTGCACAGGTGCAGCATTAAACGTAATTGGTCTTTCTTATTTTTATACAACTCGTAGTTAGAACTTCTTCGATTGTTCTTTTTAATACTTTTTTGTCGTTTATTTTTATTGACATGGGCTTGTTTTTCAGCATGCATATGCCCCGACTGTATATATCTGTTATGGTCTACTGATCTTGGAGACCCGTGATACACTGTTTACTCTCAATTGAAGGTTTTAGTCATTTTAATGGTTCTTCCTGCGCCGACATCACCCTCTTTTATTTGTAGTTGCCCTGATTACTGCACCCATCTATTCGAACACGTGAGATCATGAAGTTGGTGTGTATTTGTTTCGTATGGCAGCTGTGGTTACGCGGTATTTTTACGTGCACTCAGGACATCCCTTTCCTCTAGCAATGTCATCAGCTAAAAGGGTTTCCACTGTGCCGACTGCTGGCACCACACCAATTTTTAGCAAGTGTCCCAGGTACGTATCGACTTACCTAAAAGGGGCTCTGGCACACTATTCGAGCATGTTCAGAAAACGCTGCCGATTGGTACTCGAGCCTCTAGAGGAAACGCAAGCCAAATATTATAGTGCAGCACGTGGCCTAGAATCCACAATAAATAATCAGTCAGCTACAATTTGCATCTCTTTTTTTGAGAAATGGCAATACAGGCTCAAAAAAAAAAACCTCGTAACAGTCACTGTAATAGCCATTGATTGATTTGAGCATGGCGCACTTTGTCGTCACTCGGGCCGCCATGGGAGACCGCCACTTGTCCACATTCGCGCTCGCGAGCACACTGAAAATCTGTGTATTCGAAGAAAATAAAAAAAAGAGAAAAAGTGCTGAAGTTCATTAGGCATGCGTGACATATTCGCTTTACCGTGCCATCCTTCTCTGCTAACCTTCCAGCGCTTACGTCGGCACGTGAAAAGAGATTTGATATGTGGGGTCTAACGTCCCAAAACCACCACATGATTATGAGAGACGCCGTAGTGGACGGCTCCGGGAATTTCGACCACCTGGCTTTTTTTTTAACGTGCACTGAATCTGACCACACGGGCCTGCAGCATTTTCGCCTCCATTGAAAATTCAGAGGGTGCAGCCGGGAATCGATCTCACAACCTGCTAGTCAGCGGCCGAGTACCAACACGACTTGGCGGGAAAAGAGACCATGCGATCACAGCGTGCAACAAATCTTTTTAACTCCGCTAATACTGAAAAGATTCAAGAATATTTGCAGCGGTGAATTTATGAGCAAATGAGCTACTTTAGTGAATCTATTCTATGGCTATCTGAAAAAGTGTTACAGGGCCTCTTAAAGATAATTACATTCTCTCATTGTGACCCGAATGGTCGTGCATGATTTTGATTGACAATGTTTATACGGTTTCTGGCACTATCTCCTGACGACACATCAGGTTTACAAACAAGTGGTTGTCCCTAATTTAAAAATAATATACAACAGTTTAAAGGACGAAAAATGTTGGATATTTAGTGTAATAGATATTGTACCGAAGCTAGACTTCAGCTAAAAAGGGCTAATGCACCGCTTGCAAAAAACAATGGAAATTAATTTGTGGTAATAGGGTTTTATCAAAACTGCATGGACAGGAACATTCGCATGGTATAAGTGAACAAAAGAAATTGAGGTTTCTTGGTAATGTTATACCTGAGGGCAAGACTTGTGTGCTCCTAGGCTACTTCTCACTCCGCCACAAATGCAAGGCATCTTACGTTTCACTTCCGCCCGGGGTGCAGCGTGACCACCGTTATTGTGCATGCGCGTTTCCTCCCATTCTCTTTCTTTCCTACAATCTCCCTCTCTCGCCTCGGAACGTTGAGGCAGGCAGCGTCTTGTAGTAAGTTTCTTGATTGAATAAACCAACTGCTCACTCTTTTGTCTCTTTATTATTTACTTTTGCACATCATTCAATAATAATACAGTGCATAAGCAGTACATTCAGAGATAACGAACAGAATGGTTACATAGTGACTAGAATTTCTTCATAAGTGGCTCAAGATGTTCTTGCCACTGTGGAATTGGGTCTTTAGGTTTACACTGTTCTATACACTTCGTGATCATTTGGCGGAATTATTCGCGAATGGTCAGTGTATTGATGTCGGCATGGCAGACTGCCATGCACTTTTTCCAAATACTGTAAAGGCCGAGCAACATAACAATATCGTAAGGTGCTCCACCGTCTTCTTCATTCACTGGTAAAACCCTGATCCCGTAGACATCAATCCGTAAATCTTTTTTTATAGTTCTTTGAAGAATGTCCAAGAAGAACACCTCTTCCCAACAATTCAGTAAGATATATTTGATGGTTTCAACTTCACGATAGAGAAAACGGTGCTTTCCCTACAGTACAAACAGTCTTCTTTCTTGCATCCACGTTTTAACTTCTAGAGTTACAGTATAGAGCTTAAAAAGAATGAATATGAAGTAGATGGTACAGCCTTATTTTTTTTAACACAGAGCAGTACATTTTGGCCACTTCTAGCCGGACACGAACTCCTGTGAAGTGGTACCAATAAAACAATGTCGAGAATGTCTCTATACAACCTTTGTCGTTTTACTCCCACTAGGTATTCACTAGAAAAATGTGCCGAAAAAACAAAATGCATGCACAGACGATTTCTTTCAAACAGTCATAAAGCGCCCCATGCACGTAGTCTGAGGTTACAACGAGTGGAGGTAGAACTTTTCCAAGCCTCAGCTGAATAACTTCACGTAAAAACGGGTCTCTTGTGTCTCGCAAAAACATAAAACAACTGACAAACTGTTTTAAAAACAAATGTGACAGACTGAAACCACCAAACCGAACACGGCGAAAAAGATTAGTGCGACTAGACCATTCCCACACTGATCCTCATATAAATACTGCAAACACACCGTGCAGCTTCGGCACGTTTATACACGAGCAATGCAAAACTTCTAATCTGTGCCACAGTTTAGAGACACAGAAAATATTACATATGGTGTCCCGCGTGAAAATCGAAAAGTCCCATTCTGTAATTTTATCTACATTTTCACGCATTTCAGCGGAATGCCGCCGCCAGTACGGCTCACACTCACGATAAAATTATAGTTGTACACACAAATATTTCGCAGGCTGATTCACTGATGGCATGCTGGCGAAACGACTGGAGTGGAAGGCCGATTTTCGTGCCAATATCCCAAGCATTTTTCTCAGTTTACCGAACCTCCACTGGCCGTACAAAATTGTTTTGCAATATGGACTACTTCGTTAGGAGTGTCCCGATCTGAACAGAAAACTGCCATATCATCTGCATATGCAAGTAGTCGTACTTCAATCTCATGCAGTTTGAATCCATGGACGGCACTGCTGTTAATCACACTCACACAGAAAGGCGTTAAGAACAGACTGAACAGCAGTGGTGAAAGAGGGCAGCCCTGACGCACGGAGCGTTCAAGTTAATGTGTGCCCCCATCAAGTTTATAAGAATTATTTGCGTTGTACAGCCCTTATAGACCATAGCCACCGCCTCTTTGATGATGCAGCCTGCGTTTACAAGATTCAACACACTCTTGAGAACATCATGTGACACAAGATCAAATGCTTTCTCTGAATCCAAATGAAGCAATGCTACACATGTATCAGTTATATCGTAGCACTACAGAACAGCTCTGGCCTTCTGTATGTTAGTCACAATTGTGCGTCCTTTGATTCCGCACGTCTGGTGTGGACCTATTATTTCTTTTATTACACCCTGCAATTGCTTAGACAATATTTTTACAAAGAGCTTGTAATATACATTTGTTAAGCTGATGGGGTGATACGACTTTATAAAGCAGAGTTTAGATTTATTTTCTTTTTGAGGGACTACCATAGTGTGAGCCATCAGAAAGCTGGGAGGAAACATCCTATACTTGTAAGCTTCATTGAGGACAAGTCAAAACTGGGTAAAA